TTAATCCCAGAAGCTAATCTAAGCTCCAGTGCTACTTTAGCGTTCCTCACCAAATCCCTACAAGCTCGGGCCAGGGAGGTGTACCCCTCCTTTGTCCCTGCCCCCTGCTTCCACCGCCAGTACGCTTTTTTCTTTGCCCTCAGGCCAGCCTGGATATCCATGCTCAGCCATGAAGGTTTCTTGGACCCTTTTCCTGCCTTCCTGCGCAGAGGAATTGTGTCCTGCTGTGCCCCAGGGATAGCCTCCTTGAGGAAGGACCACCTTTCCTGGACCCCTATACTAGCTACCCCCTGGGCTCCGAGTGCCTTCCTGACTACTGTCCTGAGCACATCGAAGTTGGCTTTCCTAAAGTCAAGCATTTGTGCTGTGCTAGTTACCCTCCCCACCTTTCTCTGAATAGCAAACCGGATCATTTCATGATCACTGTCCCCTAGCCTCCCTTGTACTAGCACCTCCCCCACCATTTGTTTTTGTCCCAGTGCTATTATATATTTGTATTGGTGTTTTGAAAGAAAATGTAGGATCATTAGTGGTAAAGATTACAGATGACAAAAATTGGTGAAATTACATGCAATAATAGGGAAAGATCAATTGTATATACTAACATGAATCACTTGATAAATTGGACTTATTTAAATTATATGTTTTAATGCAGCAAAATGCAAAGTTGGGGAAAGAAATGGAGGTCACAATTACAATTTAGAAACAGAATATTAAATTGCAGTGACTCTAGAGTCTGAAGGATAATGGTAGATAATAAAATATGAGCTTCCTGTGCAGTTGTTTAAATAAAAGCATGAATATGTTTCTTAAATGGATAAACAGAACAATATAAAAAGTTGTAGGAAGGTAGTTTGATATATGGTATTAGTGTGACCATCACTGGTATATCGTTTCCAGTTCTGGTGTTCAAGTTTCAAAAGGTTGTAGAGAATGTGAAAGTGTTGAGAGAGAGCTACAAGAATGACCAATCTAGAAAATGCACTTTATTGAGAAATCTGTGAAGGTCAGTCTATTTATTTAATCCAAAAGTCGATTGAACACTGTCCTGATCTACCTACCTGAGATGTAGATTTCTGAATGCAGATCTTTCTTTAATATAGTAAAAAAAGCATAGTGAGGTCAAAAAGGCTTAAGCTAAAGAAATTCAAACTAAAGAAAAAGCAAAAATGTATAAGAATTATGGAATTAACCAGTGAAACAATTTTCCTCAAGTATATGATGGATTTCCTTTTACTTGAAATCTTTAAATCAAAGTCAAAAAGGACATTATATCTTAATCAGGAATTATGAGCTTGATGCAAATTGTTACTTGTTGAGTCCATGTCCATATACTATGGGTGCGCATCTACATGTGCACTTTACTGCCTAGTTGACTAATTAGCTCTGCAGTAAAGTGTCACTTTCTATCTGTGTGCCCATATTAGGGTGCAGTAAATTAATTAACTACACTGTAAGACAGTACTATCTTACGGCGGAGTCAGTTACTGCGCCAAAATGCACCTGTAGAATGGCCATGGCTCCACACTTTGGCAGTCTCATGCCCCAGCCAGCCCCTCTGCCACCTACCACTGCTACCTGGAGCCTGGGGCTGACCCCCCTCCGGTTTGCTGGCAGCCCAGGTCTGCTCTGCCCTGGCTCAAACTGCTGTGGTCCTGGGCACACGTGTAAACACTGAGCCCGGGAGCAGTAAACTCTGGCATGAACTGCACCAGAGTTTATTGTGTCACCTTAATGGTATGTGTAGACGCACCCCATAAGTGCTTAATGACCTGATTTTCCAAGAATGCTAAGCACCACAATTAAGGCAATGGATTTATGAATGCACAGCTCTCTGAGAATAACAAATACTTATTTTTAAATAAAGATACTTGATGGCTGGCTGGCTACTAGAAGCTGGTATTCAGAATTAGTCAGTCACTTCCAGAAACTAATGTTTTACCTAGCAATTATGATTTACATTGTACAATATGACGATTGGGAAAATATTAAATGTCAATAATTTGTAAAAATGTGCTTGAATTTTAATATCAGGACTTTTTTTAATAGATTTTCAAAATTATGGTAAACAGTTGTATTTTAATAAAATAGAAACTTGTTATAAAATATCTTTCTTGTAGCCCTTCTGAAAAACATGTCTGGCAATAGGATCAAAGTATAGAAAAAACAATAAAATAGAAATGAAGAAGCAAAACACAGAATTTCTGTGATTTAAAACAAAAACTTTTGGCTCTTAAGATCAGAGATAAACCAGAAGTTTAGTCACTCTAAAATTAGTGCCTAGAGAATAAATTGCAGTTGTTACCATTTCCTTTTTGTCAATCAGATTCTACCAGTATTAACAGAGTTGCTGACACTTTGAATACCTCCAGTATCCACCGAGACCCCAAGAGAGATCTCAGTGAAGAATGGAATGCAATAGCAAAGACTTTTTATGATTCTTCTTTTCCCACAGAACATGTAAGTCAATTAAAAATATTGCAGAGCAGACCTTAGTGAGCTAATACCACAGATATGTGTAGAACTGTACGCATCTGGATGCTTTAAGACCTAGTCGATCTCCAAAATAATATCAAGAGGGCAACATGGCACCATTTTTCACAATTAAGGTTGATAGAAAACAGCCGGAAAAAGTCACAGCATATAAATCAAGCAGATGCTAGCCAGTCTGTTTTGGGAGGACAGGGAGAGGTAGTTCATTGTGTACCTCAATAAAAATGATCACCTACAATGTAGGAATAAACATGTTATGTTCACTTTACTTACCAATTTGCTTACTAATTTACATGAATACATGCTATCTATTTAGAAAAAAACTTCAAGGAATTTTGAAGTATTTCAGTATGTTTTAAATACTAGGAGCAAAAATTTGATTTTGAATAACTGTTTGAAAATGACAAGGCAAAATATTTTCCATGTCAATATACAGACATCTATGTATAAACAGAAAATTAAAAGAGGAAACCTGTGGTTCCCTTGGGTCTACTTGTTACATGAGATGACACTAGCCATAGTTCACATTGCATTTTTTAGATCTATGTGGTTTGTAATGGTGTGTGAGGAACTTGAACAAAAAGGCTAAGTCTGGTTCCTGTCTGAAGAGAGAGAAACAAATTCTAAAGCACAATATGAAATGTAACCTCAGGGGGTGATTTTTTTAAACTTCTGAATTACAACCAACTTGGAAATGGTTATTGCAAAAGGTATGGATAGTCAGTTACAGCTGGCTTTTGTTGATCTGATTTGTAGTGTGGGTATAAAAAGATATCTACACTGGTATCTAGTAGGGGTATGCAAAACGGACTGTATTCGATTTGGCTTCGGCCCTAATTGGGGACAGTGATTTGATTCGTTGATTCAGATCACTGTCCCCAATTTGATTTGGCCGATTCCGAATCTGAAGATTCAATGCTGATTCAGAGAATCAACGACTTGGCCATAGACACAGCTTTAAATGTTTTTTTCTACATACCTTGAAGTACCAGGTGCGGCTCGTGAATCCTGTGATGGTGGGGCAAGTGCAGTGTCCCACAGGAGCGTGGAGGGCTCCCCTGCAGGCTTGGTGGCGAACCCGGAAATACATTTACCTCAGCAAATGTAAAGTCACCTGGAAGTACTTCAGGTCCACTTCTGGGTTCACCACTGAGTGCGTAGGGGGCCCCCACCCCTCCGTGTCCCCCTGGCTTGGCGATTGGCCATGGGGGGACCCCAGGTACCCCCCCAGACCCAGGAGGTACCAGTCGCCAAGCCTGGTGGGTGCGGGGGGGGGGCACCCTGCACACTCCCCAGCAGACCCGGAAGTGCTTCTGGTCCACTTCTGGGTCTGCTGCCAAGTGCACTGGGGACTCCCTCACATTCCTGTGGGATGCTCCATCCTTCCCATCATCTCAGTGTTCACGAGCCACCTGGTATCTTGAAGTGTGTAGAAAAAACATTTAAAGCTGTGTCCATGTCTGAATTTTCAAATCTTTCCAAATCTCTGATCAATTTGGAGGGTTCCGATTTAATTCTGAGAGATTAAAGAGTCTCCTGATTTTATTCAGATTTGGAGATTGGCCATCGAATTGGGCTGAATCTCTGCCGAATTTAATCAGCAACCAAAGCTTCGCACAGCCCTAGTATAATTTTCTGGTGAAGATGGGCCAAGTTTAGGTATCTATTGATTTTACTGGATCACTTTAAAATATCTTGGCTAACATATTCTTCAATAGCACCCTTCCTTTTGTATTGACTACCACCCAGCCCTCCCTAAAGCATTTCTTCCATGTTATCAACATTTATTCTCAGCAAATGTAAAGTCACCTGGAAGATGAGGTGTTTTAGACTAGTGGGCCATCTCTAAGCTACTTATACTAAGCTTTGTCCCTTTTGCTTAACCCAGGGTCTGTGATTTTTTTTCATGTATGGCAGATAGGAATCAAATAAAATATGAGTCATTAATGAAGCAGGGTAAAACATCTAGAGATGCTAGCAGGAATTAGATCTGCTTCTTTTAAAGAGTGAATACATTATAGCTGTGAACACATAACCACCAGCGGTCCTTGGGCACATCTACACGTGCAACTAATGCACTTGACTTTTCATCACAGAAAATTCAGGCTCATTCAAGTGCTCCAGGGCACGCATCTAGACTTGTGCCTCCGTCGGGAACAAATTACGCCCGACAGGAGCAGTCCAGTACAGGGCTGCTCCTGCTCTGCTCTGCCCCCGTGCAGCAACCAGCGGGAGCTCTAGTGTCACCCAGGTGCCAGCTTCAGAGCTGCAGGGGCCATGGGGCCCAGTCCTGATCCCCATATGGCCAGGAGACCTGTCCCCACTTGGCAAGGACACTGCCTGCCAGCTACCTGGGGATCAGTAGGGTTCTGATCCCCATGCAGCTAGGAGAACTATCTCTGCTTGGTGGGGATGCTGCCTGCCAGCCACATGGGGATCCCCATTGGTGAGGACAGCTCTCCTGGCCACATGGGGATCGGGGCCCTCCCAATCCCCATGTGGCTGGGAGGCAGCATCTTCACTGAGAGGTGATGGCTCTCCCAGCCACCTGGAGATCAGGTCCTGACCTGATCTTCATGTGGCTGGGATGCAGCAGTCCCAGCTGCCAGGACAGCTCTGCTGGCCATGTGGGGATTGGGTTGGGCTAGCACAGCTCCCCCACTCCACGTTGGGGCTTAGTTAGGCAGCAGCAGACCCCAGCAAATGCTCCTGTTTAGCATCTACACATGCACTACCGTGCAGTAGCTAATGCACTTTTAATCTAGTACCTGTATTTCCTGGTACTAGCAAATGGCACATTAGCTTAATTTACTGTGTATTAAGTCTTGTGCATGTGTAGATGGTGGTGCTTTACTGAGCATTAGTCTAATGCACAGTGGGTGCATCTATACAAGATGCTAACTGTGCAGTAGCCTAATAACACTGCACAGTAGCATGCCGGGTAAAAACCATGCTAATACACTCCTGTGCAGTAGTATTAGGCTATTGTGCAGTAAGCGTCACTAACAGGCCATGAGTAAGCGCTACTGCACAGTAGTGAGTACCGCACATTGATTTAGTACTTGGTTATCCAAGAACTAAACTTAATGCGCAGTAACTACGGCACATTAATTAAGGTATAGATGCGACCAGTAAAGTATTTTATGTAAATACGCCCCTTGCTTGTGACTTTAAGTGCATTTCAGAGTATTAGAAAACTGCTAATGCCACTTCTTTCCTGTCTTGGTACATTAGTTGTCATAATTTCCTTCCTCAAACTTGTAACTTTTGTGATAAAGGAGAAATGAAAAATTAAAAAGAAGTTAAAATATGTTTTTGCTCTGATCAATTTATTCTCATTGTGCACTTTACTGTACTATTTGGTATATGCACTGCACTGTGCTTTACCACAGTTCTTTTCTAGTAGTCAAGTACACTGGTCTAGATGTAAAAACAGGACATTTTTCTTTTTCTTTTTTTCCCCTGGGAACTGAGCCCCTTAGTTCTGAAACACTTCCTGTTTTAATTCATAAATCAAGATTCTTCATTCACTGTACATCTTGACAAATAAAAGCTTTACAGTGAAGGCTTACTAGAGAAGGGTATTTTTATTGTAAAACTTGTATGATGCATAGGATTATACATTAGTAATGTGAATTTTAATTTCTGCACTAGATTTTTCAACAAATAAAATATGGAAGAATTAGAAAACATTGAATTTAGATAGAAGCCATGAAGTTGGAGATAATTTGTACTTATACATTTTAATATCATAGTTTGCGATTATATATTTATACTTGTTCAAATACTTCATGTAGTTTTTCTACAACTTTAGTTTTGCAAGTATCCTCCTGTACTATGGTTCAAAGTAATCAGTCATTTTTATTAGAAGTAGACCATATGATGTACTTTTTTAAAACAAAGGATACTGCAGATAAGATAAACTGGACCATCATAACCTGAAAACTGAATACACATACAAATTATGAAAAGTAATACAAGATGCTACTTAAGCTTATAGGGAAAAATTTATATGGCTGTGAACTAAGCAGCAACTTTGCTGGCAACTAAACTATCAGAAAGTAGACACACACGTATGAAGTTAAGGATGCACATACATCTTCAAATTATTTCCTGACTTGCACACTTGACTATGCAATCTTAGTATTCTCCTAATGAAGTCTTTCAGAAACAACATGATCCTATTGACCTTAGTAGGATGTGTTCCATTATTTGTGGATAAGAATGGCAACAGCACAAGATACTCATTAGAATGATTAGGCTGTTTAGAGAACTCTGTAGTTTAAGCTCTGCTGACTCCTTATCATTTAAAAACAAACAAACCAACCAACCCTGAAAGGTTACACATTTTTGGTTAGGTGTGCAGCATAGCATTTGGCCACGAAAGAATTAATCGGATTAATTTTCTACATTGTCTTCAAATTAAGATAAGATACTCTCAGTGTACTCTGGGGGATAATCTCCCTTGCACTATTTCCTTTAAAATGCAAATATAATTTAATAAACGAATTTGTGGCTTGTAGTTGGTTAGGGCTTGAATATCTATTTTTGTCAGTATTGTTTGGTAGGGTGGTGGTCAGCACTCCCTCAAATGTTGAGATGGACTCTTTCTGCCTGAAGCTGAAGAGTGACCATAATATACAATGGAAGTCATACCTTACTCAGATGCATTCATGAAGCCAGCTCCTTTGCCCATAGGTTAAGAACCTCCATAGAACAGCTGCAGTTCTATGGAAGTGCCATTTTAAATTAGCTTTCAGGTCTTCTCCACAGTGCTGGACTATGCTAGGGAGGCATTGCTGTGAAAATCCACTCTACAAACCCCAAGTACTAGTGTCAGGTCAAGGTCTAGTTTTTGGCACTCAGAATGGGCACGGTGTGTTTTTATAGTGCTGTTCCTTAATACGCAGCCTGACATGCTCAGTATGTTCTATTAGTAATCTGACAGGCAGTTTAAATCTTAATTTAGTCACTATATCATATCTGAGTTTACCAAAAGTCCAGTAAAGGTCCACCCCCACAAATAAAGCAGCTGTCTACACTCACCATTTAATCAGCATATGCTGTACGAAATGTTATGTTGCTGTAGTTGTTATCCAAAACCAAAAGAAAGGAAATATTATACTAGCTTTTTTAAAATGATGAAAATAGGAAGCTTGCACCGAAGTCCTAGCTTGGGAAATTGTCAACTTTCTAAGGGTTGGTTAACAATTACCTGTTCCTTTAATAGTTAGTAGTTTTCTGCAAAGAAGAAAATGGAGGGAAAAACTGTGGTATATATTTTTCCTTTCCTTCCACAGCATTAACATTGTGACTTACCATGTTTTGCTACAGTAGAACATTAAATGGATGGCCATAATTCATAGTTTCATAGATTTAGGGTCCGAAGGGACCTAGTAGATCTTCTAGCCCGACCCCCCGCCAGGGCAGGAGAACAACAAAACCCCAAAACAAGAAACGGGACTCAAATGAGTCCAGCCAGGTAGGCATCCAGCCTCTTCTTAAAGACCCCCAGGGTAGGGGCCAGCACCACTTCCCTTGGAAGTTGGTTCCAGCTCCTAGCCGCCCTAACTGTGAAGTAGTTTTTGCGGATGTCCAATCTATACCTCCTCTCCATCAACTTGTGCCCATTACTCCTTGTTATGCCAGCGGGCGCTAGGGGAAACAGCGTCTCCCCCAAACCCTTCTGGTCCCCCCTAGTGAGTTTATAGACGGTCACCAGGTCCCCCCTCAGCCTTCTCTTGTGGAGGCTGAATAGGTTCAGGTCCCGCAGTCTCTCACTGTAGGGTCTGCCCTGTTGTCCCCGGATCATGCGGGTGGCCCTCCTCTGGACCCTCTCCATGTTGTCCACATCCCTCTTGAAATGGGGCGCACAGAACTGGACACAATACTCCAGCTGTGGCCTGACCAGCGTCGCGTAGAGGGGGAGGATCACCTCCTTGGCTCTACTTGAGATGCACCTGTGGATGCACGACAAGGTCCGGTTAGCCCTGCCAACCATGACCTCGCATTGTCGGCCCATGTTCATCTTGGAGTCAATAATGACTCCAAGATCTCTTTCTGCCTCCGTGCTCTCGAGTAGGGAGTTCCCCATTGTGTAAGTGTGCTGCTGGTTCCTACTGCCCAAGTGCAGCACCCTGCACTTGTCCGTATTAAAACGCATCCTGTTCCTGTTAGCCCACCCCTGTAACCTATCCAGATCCCTCTGCAATCTCTCCCTCCCTGCTAGCGTGCTCACCTCCCCCCAAATTTTGGTGTCATCAGCGAATTTAAACAGGTTACTTTCCACCCCATCATCCAGATCGCTGATGAAGAAATTGAACAGCGCAGGCCCCAGGACCGAGCCCTGGGGGACTCCGCTACCCACCTCCCCCCAGGTCGAGTATGACCCATCCACCACCACCCTCTGAGTGTGACCCCTCAGCCAATCTGCAATTCAAGGGATAGAAGAACTTAAAAACAGGCAAAAGAAGTTTTTTCAAAACATTTTTAAGTGCAAACTATTTTGAAGTAGTGACATTGCTTGCAGATGTGATTTTAGCCATTTTTTAAAATCATCTAATGCAGTAATGCTCCACCTTTTTCCCAATTATTCTCTCTGATGTCTTAACCCTTCTGAGAAATGAAGCTAATTAGACTCAAAGATAAATTATCTTCCTGGCTTGTTTTTGTTTGCTTGTCAAAAGAAATTGTGCAATATCATCAAAAGGTGTATTTTGTAACTGTTAGAAATCATTGTAAAATGTATACAACTGGCAATTTTATTAGCAAATACTTTGCTGATCTGCATACATAATCAACAAAACTGGCAGTCCTCCCCTTTTCCTCAAATGTACTGAAGTATCATATTTAAAGCTTATCTTTAGTTTATGCTGTAGTACATTTACAAATACATTATCCAGTATAAAGCAACTAAAATATGCTTTTCAAACTAAAAGTGTACAATTCTGATTATACTCATCGTTAATCATGTTTGTTCCTTTACTTGCTAAATAGCAAAATTCAGTAACTTGCTATGGATCTCAAGACCTGTCAAGTTAGCCTGGATCTACCACATTAAGCACTAAATGTATGTATTGTTTTTAGGTCAAACCAGGACTTACTACAGCTTTGTGTTATGAGCAGAAACCTTGTGCGACGTACAAAGCCAACACACCAATTTTAAATGAAAGTTCATATGAAGAGGAGGGCGGGGATACTCAGAATAATTTAATAAAAAATCAAATCAAGGAAATAGAAAAGTTTTTGGATATGGAAAGGCTCCGCCGATCTCGTAAGAGGAAATACGAAGAAAATACAGATGCAGTGACAGAAGACAAAACAGATATCTAATTCACTTGTCTGAATATGCTTAAAATATGTGAATCAGATTTGTAGAGAGGTCTTCCATTGGAAGCATAGAACTACATATTTTATTCTTTGTGTAAATCTAAGTTACAGACCCTCCAAAGTTTTTTGTCTTCCAAGTGTGGATGTAATCCTATTAGAATGGATTCCCTGTATTTCTGCAACCAAAGTCCTTGTAATAGGTCGTAAAGCTGTTGCTAGAAGTTAACACATTGGTAAGCAGTTTTATTTACAGCTGCTAACTGTAATTGGCAGTATATATGCAGCTCAAATCCTGAAAAACCTTAACTAGAGTACTTCCTTGTTTCTGAAAGCATAACAATCAAATGACACACACAGGTTTCAGAATGAATTGGTTACCTTGGCTTTTTAGGATAAATAATATCACAAATTGCCAGAAGAACAAAGTATGCTACTCGTATGCATCAGGTATTTTAATAAAGAGCCAACCATGATGGATGCTGATTCTTAGACTAAATATTGCCTTTTTGAAGTGTATTGCATATGTACATATATACGAGGTATCAACAGTTACTTCAACAGAGTAAATTTTTCTTTATTGAACTAGTTTTCATTTCTGAGTTTTGGCAGAAGTTAAGTTTCTGTATCCCCTATAATTTTTTGCATCATCATCCCTTCCCTACTACAACCAAACAGGGAAAGGATGACCACTGACATAACCAACAAGAACGAAACGTGCTATTTTGTGCACTGTCCATTATTATTAATACAAACTGTACAAGTCAACTCAGGATGTTTTCCTATTTCAATTTTATTTTTTTCTGTAGCTCATCTTTCAAAGTCACATTTCTTAAAACCAAATGCAGACATTTGAGACAGAAAAGTTCACAATTGTCAAAATAATTTTTTGAATGCTTTACTATGATTGGGAAATTTGTTCAAAGTGAATAAAAACAAAACATTTAGGTATCAGAAAGACTGAGGAGACTGTTCTTCACTTGATTCAAATTTTGTTTCCAGGTGTTAAGTGTGTCATACAACTGTTGCCACTGCTGCTTCCCAAAAGTCCTGTGCGTGCTGTGACTATGGAAGTAAAACAAAATTAAAAAAGGATTAACAAACACCATCTTTGCTGGCAATGCCCATCTAACATTTTTGTTTGGCAAATATTTAACTAAACACCAGGGTAAATAGAGGTAAAAAACTAATTCTCTCTATATAAATTGAGCATGGTAACATCTCTTTCAGCACTCTCTCAAAAGCTTCACCACACCCATTACAGACTTCTGTAGTCTTCCCCAAGTATTTAAAGCAGCAAAAGTCATTAGAATTCTTGTCACTGATAGGTCATTAAATGAAATGTGCTGGAAAATAGGACTCTTTCATTAAATAAGCTAATCACATTCAGTCTGAGCTTTAATAAAATTATGATAAATAGCAACTATTTAACTACAGGCAACTGATAGGAACAATACCTTGCTTCTAGTTAAAATATTAAACATATATTAAATGAAATAATAAAATACTAAACTGTTCTGCAAAATGTTGCAAAGAATTAAGTCTTACCTGACTACTACTTTCCTCTGTGTCTGATCAATTTTGCAGTATACCATCTTTGTCTTAACAGCTGAAAAAAGCAGACTTGTTTTTTGAATGATATTTCTCCAAAAAGCAAAGGATATTAAATAGCATAAAAATCTTTAAATGAAAATATATGGTAGCAATAACTTGCTTGATGCTATTTAACTATTGGTTACAACAATCCGGTAGGCAGAACAACAATGACGTAACAAGATAAAAGCCAAGCATGAATCTTATGCTTTGGTGCCAATCTATTAAAGCAATATCCTGTGCATTTTTATGAACTCCTCTCCCCTACAAAACACATCCTGTTTTAATGACAGCAGGCAAAAACAGCTGACAAATTAAACTTGCAAACAATTTATTAGTTCCATAAAGGATTACTTGAAATACAATTCCCATCATTGAAAACAAAACAGTACTTAAAAGCCAACAGTAGGGCCATATCTTTAAACATGAAGTTTTACAAATTAATTTCAAAATAAATCAGAAATGAAAATTTGCGATTCTTTACATGCATGGCTGGTCTCACCAACCTCATATTGCTCATGTTTTAATATGTTACAAAGCTGTGTAAAATCTGGCTAATTATTTATATTGCATTATTAAAGTTATATATGCCTTTATAGTTTTTGAGGTTTATTTCCCACCAATGTAATATTCAAATTACTTTTGTCCTAACAGTAAGAAATTAATTTTAGAACAAAAACAAATCTCAGGGAAAAGGCCCTGGTGTAAAATAGAGTGAAATACCAGTGCTTACCATCAATAACAAATGCTTCTACATCATCAGCCCCAATCTGAAGTTCCTGTTGCATTGTGTCAAATGAAATTTCTTTGTTTTCTACTGCCATCCCCATAAAAGTAAGTAATCTCATTTTTGCCATATTCTGCTCATGCAACAAACCTGAACAACAGAACATCTATGAAATACAATGCATGCTCATAAAGTATTAACAAGTTAAACTATTTTCCATGTTCTTTCTACTACATAAGCCTCAGAATTATTTCAAATTCACTTTACATCATGTACATCAATGCTTCTTATCTGGCTTTATCAACACTTTTATAAGGTAAAATGTTCTTTTTATTTTTGCAGAATATCTTAAATATTTTAGTAATGTGCAATTTATTCAGATATTTCTGAACCCTGAAAGTGCACAAAAACTTCATGAAAATGCCGAATATTATCTAGACCTCGGATTCTGTTGAACAAGTGAGAATAACCAGTTTATATCTCCTTGAAATTTAAGGATGTAAAGTTGTCCCCGAGCCATTATAGCAGTGTTCCCCAATATGAAGGCAGGACATCTTTAGAGCAAGGCAATACACATTTAAGTGGACTACTAAGCAGAAGAACAGAATAATGGAGCAAGAAATCATAACTGACTGATGAAGACCAAGTTTTTCCCGCTACCATATGATCCTGAACTCTTGCCCCCTTATTTTCTCTATCTACATCCATACCACTGTGGCTTTGGTAGATTGCTCCTTGAAAGCAAATTCTCCGAACAATAACCTTTACAGAGTACAGTTGTTTCCTCCAAATAGGAAGTATTTCTATTACAGACAGAAACAGTAACAGGGTCACCTGAAATAATGCCATTTATGTGCAGAAATGATAGAGAAATGGGAATCATCTACCCATCTTTTATAGCCCTCATCATCAAAGCATGGGAGTGCCTCTCAATCTTCAGTACATTTCTCCTTAGAGCACCCAAGGGAGATAGGAAAGGGCCGTTATCTCCACTTTACGTACTGACAGAGAGATGAGACAACCTGCCTAAGATTCTCCATAGTGGAAATCTGGCAGAGAATGAAACTGAACTATGGTCTCATACAGAACAGGTCAAAATCCCAAGAAATACTAACAACTAGCCTAGGCTAGAGTGGCCTCCCCCAACTCTCTCACCTTATTTGGATACTTATTCATAATTTTTTGTTGTGTTGTATTGTTTTTAACATAAAAATCTAGAATTGACATACGAAGTTCCATTAAAAATTAACTAGAATTGCTTTGTTATAGTAGGACAACATGGATAGTAACACTACTAAGGAAATATTCAAGTTTGGAATTTATAACAATCATACACTAACAGAAGATCAGGGAAGCACATTAGTACAGGACATGTTGTGCTAATTAGCAATAATTATGATGCAGGCTCTATATCTGGCACAGATTCAACAGAAATGTGATCATCATAACTCAAATGAATGAGGAGCACCAGCAACGGTAGCTAACTGGGTTTAATGGAAATCTACAAGCATCAAAAAAAATCAATTAGCGCACATTAACCCTAATTAACAAATGCAAATGAGATGCTGATTAACTTTCTGAAGCAAGAAGGTTGCTGATAACACCAGATTAAAATGTGGACATGTTAGGGCGATTCAGTTGACACAAGATAATGCTACTACTGGTGGCCTAAGTTGTCAGCATCAATAATGCAACAAATTGTAACAATCTGATGCCACCTGTAGGAGCCTTTATTCAATAGCTTTGGTAAAATAATTTGATTTTTATTTAGTCTTGATCTGAAAGAGCAGAACTAAAGCAAATCCTATATTAGCAGTTATTTCAAACCTACTGTTAAAATATTGTTAAAAATATATTTATAGAAATTTCAAAGTACTATCTTGAAAGCAGAAACAAGGTTTTTTTTGTTTTGCTTTAGATAATTTTCAGAGGAATAAGTTTTAAATACTACCCTTTCAAGTTTTGCTAGGAATTTTCATATACCTTTTCATTATGACCCTACATCTTTTTTCATACCAATCACCAGTTTTAAAAAGTTTTAGATTAAATTTGACCAGAAATGCTTGTTCACATTGTAATCTAACACTGATTTAGTATCTATCAAATGCTTTTTGAGACATTCTTTACACAATTTTATGACAGTGATTAAGAGAGCAAGAAGTGAGAAAACTTAAACTGAAACAGGTTTTACTTTTAAAATACTTTAATAACACACAAGTTCTATTATGGACCAGCATATGCTTAACATACCCAAAATCCCTATGTTCGTAGATTTCACTTTAAAAAACAAAGTTTAATAGAGTAAAAATGAAACAAGAATAATGCTGGTCATATTAATGGTTAAGCATAATATGGAGTTAATGTGGAACATCAGGTGTTAATTTATATTCTCTGTTTAATCAAACAACATCCTCAAAACTGCATATTTGGCAATTATGTCTAGAAACAGACAAGCAGCATTTATTGTGGAAGTAACATAATAGTTTTTTTGCCCCACTGAAGTAATCACGATTCTGCAATGTTTCAAATACGCATGCAAAAAGCTATGTCGTATCCTACATACAAATTATAGCTCTCAAACAGCAAGTTTTGTCCACAAAAAAAAAAAAACACTGATGCTTCCAGTTACATCATTTTACTTTGAATACCTAAAGTAGCAGTTCCTTAAAATCCTTAATATATTTATTCTTAAAATCATATCACAACCCTTTAAAGTCAAATGACAAGTGTTAAAGACTGCATTAAACTTGTTTTGTTTCATAAAACCATAACATTGTTTTCTCAAATACATTCATTCAATAATTCAAGTGTCATTTCAAAATCAAAGTTATTAAAAAGTCTATTTTTTATGGAAACATTTATTCATTACCAATATGTCAAAACTTAATACAGTAATAAAAAAATCTGCATCATTGAGCAATTTCTGCATTGTCACTGACCCCTGTCCTAAAAAGCTGCAATATAGAAAACGTAATTTTAATGCATGCAATAGCTTATGAACCAGTGCTCCTTTGAAACAGTCAATTACACATCAATGGGGGAGTGTCAAAGTGTTAATTACTACTCCTTTTTTCCACAGTGTGTAAATAAAGAGGGTGCTGACATTAAAATTCCATCACACAGCTTCATGCCATGAAACAAATTAACTGGGACAGAATAGGGTTTGCTAGGTCTAATGCACCAGCAAAGCATTAAGCATACACAAAAATATTTGCATCTACTTTATCTTATTGTCTTCCCCCTTGTTATAGAGCTATTTGGTAGAGTTCAATCATTTAAACAATAAAAAGTGAAGACAGAAGAACTCTTTTCTTTGGGTTATATTTAGCACTCTAGCAAGTATAGGACTGGTAGCTTCTACAGGTTACAGTGCAAACTTGCTCATATTGTTTTGGATAGAACCCCCCAGTTCTGACTAACCCAGCACACCAGTCTTGTCAGTTAAACAGGAAACATTTATACTGAACACTGAAAAACCATTTGGGACTGATCTTCATTACAGAGGGCATGTCTATAACAACCGTAGCATGCTACAACGACCACATCAACTATGCCCTGCCCATCTGCGTGTCCGGACATGT